AATCTCTGCAATAACAACAACATAAAGATATTTTCCAGTATAAGGTGGATTTACCCTTGAGGATTCACTAACTATGGAGTCTGCATAGTGTGGTAGCCGGAGTGTAGGACTTCGGGCTGTCTGCATCAGCCCTGAGTCTCTGGGAGGCCAGGGTTTCAATTCCTTCTTGGCCATGGAAAACTGGTGATCTTGGGAAAGTTACATTATCTCAGCATAAGAGGAAGACACATCTTAACACATCTTATCAAGAAAACTCAGTGGTAGTCACCTTATGGTTGCCATAAGTTGGAAATTACTTGGCAATACACAACAACAACAACAACAAAGTGCCTAAATAGCAACTAATATTCACTAACAGTATGCCAGCCCAAGATTGCAATCCTTTAACCACTTGCTGATTGAATGAAACAGGACTTACCTCATTGCTTATGACCTTTATTAAAAGAGTTGCTCCATGGGTAGAACTCGTTTCTCTGCCACACAGATATATGAGTTTGCTAAGAATCATTAGACATGATTAGAAATACAATGGGGGAGATTATATTTTCCCAAAATGCCAGCCTGGGCCCAGTCCATAAGCAGAAAAAGAGCTACATTCAGAATGCATGCAAACATGCAAGCAAATGTGTGTGTGCATACATCTAGTGTTGTTGTATGCCTTCAACTCATTTCTGGCTTATGGTGACCTAAAGTGAACCTATCATGGGGTTTTCTTGGCAAAATTTGTTTGGAGGAGGTTTGCCATTGTCTTCCCCTGAGGCTGAAACCCAGTGGGTTTCATGGCCAAGCTGGGAATCAAACCCTGATCTCCAGAGTCATAGCCCAACACTTAAACTACTATGCCACACTGACTATCACATATAAAACTACATGACTAAAGACTACACACAACAGAATCTGATCCACCCACACTAGTTAAATGCCTGTCCACTTTGTAGTGCACCAGCTGAGGCAAAAAAGGTACAGCTTGCACAAGCCTTTCTGTAAGGATAAGAGTCTATGATTCCCACAAACCACATTCAGTTTGGTACCTCTATCAAAATTAACCCTCCAGTTTAAAAGAAAGGTGGAACTGAGCCAGCTCAGCTATAAGAAAGAGTAATGGCAGTCACCCTAAGACCAGACGTGGGGTGCCATGAAAAGCTAGTAAATTGTTGGGAGGCTGTTGTTGTCTTTGTTGTTGTATTTTTACTACTAGGAATGGAGAGAGGCACCTGTGGCTGTGAATGTGTACTGGAGGCTGGAGGGATATTGCCATTTGCTCTTATCTTACACTTCAAGCAGCAAAAGATCTGAGGCCATCCCTGCAGGGAATTTAGGTACTTGATCTGAAAATTTATTCTGGATTATTAATTAAGCCACTAAAGTACCCTCCATTGGCTCCAATAGAGTAAGATCTTGTTTGGTTGTGTTTTTAAAAAATAAAGACTAGCTATCTTGGTCTCTTGGTAATATGAATCCGAAGTTCATTAAAGAAACTTAGCAAGAAAGCATAGAAAATAAAAAAAGGATTTCCCCCTTGATGAGAGTTTTAGAAAAAATGTATCTAGAGCCCCCCCCCCTTGTGTTTGTTTGTAAATTTCTCTTGGGCTACAAAGAAGCTTAATTATGTAGAATTCCGAAATAAAGAAAGGAGGTTAAGTTGTTTACTGTATAGTGCATTCCACTTTTTCATTCATTTTCGTGTTGCCTTTAAAATCTCCAAGCAACCTTTCACAGCAACATTAATGACTTATAAAACTAAGGCAAAACAAGCCCTTATCCAGAGCCACCCTCACTCTTCACACAGTGGTGCCAAAATATCATCTACCGTAGATGTAGGCAGGTAAAGAAGCAGCCAGTACAGAAATAGGGGGTGCTTCTTATCATGCTGACCCAGCACAGTGTGTGTGTAAGTGTGTATTTACCACCAGGGTTTTGATTAACACAACACATCTAATTCAGGGGTGGGAAGGCAACTCCCCTTATTCCTCACCACTGTCTAGCCTGTCTTAGGCTGCATCTGCACTGGAGAAATAATCCAATTTGACACCACTTTAACTGCCATGGCTCAGTGCTATGAAATTCTAGGAATTGCAGTTTTGTGAGACATTTAGCTTTCTCTATCAGGCAGCTCTAGTGCTACAACAAACCAGAAAGTTGTTCTGAGTTTGAGAATTAAATGACATTCATAATCATTTCACTCAAAAACCCATTCCTGGGTACCCAGAACTGACTTTATTGCAACTGTATAATTGGAGGAAATAGTCATTTTGTTGCTGCGGTTGTTAAATGTAATTGCCAGAATGCTGTTGGCCAGTTACAAATGTCTAACCTAGGGACTTTATCACATGAGGGAAATCTCATGCAAAAACTGGATTTAAAAGCTGGGAAAAACAAGCAAAAGTGGGTTGATTTTCAAACACGCCATTGTTAAATTGTTGTAAACCCAGAAAGAAAGTAGTTAAAAGCTGCTCCTTTTTATTTTCAAGATTTTCTGAAAGGAAAAAGAAGCAGCTTTTGACTCCTTTATGTTCAGGTTAACAACAGTTTAACAACAACGTTGTGTGAAAATCAACCCACTTTTGTGGGTTTCCCCCCGATTTAAAACTCCGTTTCTGCATGAGATTTCCCCCACGTGATAAAGTCCCTAGAGTTATGCTCTCATGATTGTTTCATATTCATGACCTTAGGGGCTATCTATGGATTTTGAAAGTTCCCAAATCTCCACTTACTGGAAAGCAGCCACTGGAATCAATGGTGGTCTATTCCTAAGTCATTCAGGAAGCAGCTAGCTGACAACCCCATACACACACACCTCATGTGAATGATCTTCAGCTCAAAGGGGAATTGCAACAGGGCTCCTGCTTCTGCCTATCACACTGGGATTGCTCATGGGAGGCAGTGGGACCATCAGTCAGTTGCTTCCCAAGCAATAGAGAAACAAATCCCATTAACTAAAGCAGCAGCTTCCCACTAAATGGAGATGGGGGGGAATCAGGACAAGATTCACAGCATAGCATCACAACTACAGTAGAGTGTTTATGCATACATAAATCCCCAACAGGATTCTTGTCAACATCCCTGACAATTTACTGCCAATCACCACAAATGTGAGAGAGGCAAATGTGGCATGACCAAAGTGTAGAAAGCACTGCAGAGGTCAATTTCCGTTGCTCTGATCTGCACTGCCTTGGAAAATCCTTTTACTGGGGCGTTGCCTGAAAAGGTAAAAGTATTTTTTTTTTAGGTGGTGGCAACATCAGATGTAATTCTGTATTGCAATTGCACTTGATGGTGCAAATTCTCAACTTCAGTCTAATAGGTTCATTAGTCCTCATTTTAAAAAAACACCTTGGACTACAACCTGAATTTTCCAAAAGGCAATCTCACATCAAAGGTATTCTGCTTTCCTTTTTATTGGAGGAAGAACACATTCCACTCATCAGAGAATATTTCTTATTCTTCATAATCCATGGAGAGCCCCAAGGTACTTCAGTCAGTCATTCTTAAAAGCTAGAACTACTTTTGCAATTTTATCTCCATGTAACCACACAGAAAGTTAAGAGGCATCTTGCTCATCTCTATCCATTATGAGATTAAAACAGCCATTTCTTTATCACTCAATAGGTCTCCAGCAATTCAGCCACCCAAGATTTCCAAGAAATGTGTTCCTTTCACAGGAGACAAGTAATTTTACAGCAGGAATTTCTGGGGTCAAGCATTTTAGACAGCAACAGTGTTTGTGCAAATCATTACTGGCTTTAGTTCATAGGCTTTGTAGCCAAAAATCTATTATGGGGGATTTTATTTAGCTCAAATTGAGAGGGGGTTGGTTACAAGGATCCTGCAAGACCATCTCCCACGTGTATACCAAGAGGCCAAGGGATCTAAGAATTGATGTAGAGACAGAATTCTCCAATTAAAGTATTATTTATTAAAGGGGAAAATCACACAGTAATTCACACTCATACACTCATTCATTCAAGGCTTATGAAGTCAGAGGTTAGCTTGGAAAAGATGTTGAGGCAGAACTACGGGTGATACTTACTACAGATGAGGTTTTCTCCTGGATCCAACTGGGCGATGTTGCATGAGACACAACCATTCTGAGAGCATTGGTTTGAACGGAAATGCCAGTAACTAAATTAGAGAGCACAGTGATGTAGTGTCCCCATGAACTCCAAACTAGTGACACTGAGGGGGCAAATCCAAGAGTTTTTAAGGGCTAAAACTATCTGCAGGACAAAGGTGTTTGATTGCATGGGTGGGGTAAACAAGTCTGGCAATATTCAAGGTGAATGGGAAAAGGATTAAGTCATTAGCTGGGCCAACAGGTGAGACATCTAGACAATTATCGCCCATTCTTCTGATTATGGAGGTGATGGAGGTGGTCCATTTACAACTCCCACACTATCTGCCTGGCTTTGGGATGTTTTTTTTTCCAGTCTCCCAAATGACCTTAGTATGACCTGCCTGTCATTGTCTAGGTGGCACTTGGGGTCCGTTGCAGTGTACATCTGCAAGTGTACCAAAATTCAGAAAAATGCACTTTGGCTAACAACTTGTTTTCTGGATAATTTTTATTAGAACAGAAGAGCCAGCATGGTCTAGTGCAGGGGCCGGCAACCTACAGCCCCCGGGCCAGTTCCGGCCCAGGGCCCCATGCTTACCGGCCCAGGCGGACCCCTGCCATCACCGCGCGTTTTGGTTGCAACGCGGTCGCACGTGCCACGCCCGCCATTTTGTTTTCCAAAATGGCGGCTGCAATGCGTTTGCGCATGCACAGGAGTAATGCGGATGCACAAACGTGTTGCGGCCGCCATTTTGGAGAAAATGGCAGCCGCGACATGTGCAGAGGTGGGTGTGGGAGCGTGTGTAGCGGCGGTGGCGGCAGCGCACGGGGGGTCGCGCGGTGGTGGGGATTACGCGCGCACGCATGAGCGCGTGCACTGCCATATCCCCCCCGGGCCCACCGGAAGAGACGACTTCGGGGGTTCAGCCCCCGGCTCAAAAAGGTTGCCTACCCGTGGTCTAGTGGTTTGAGTGTTGGACTAGAATTCCAGAAGACCAGGGCTGAAATCCCTGCTGAGCCATGGAAACCCACTGGGTGACCTTGGGCAAGTCACACACTCTCAGTCTGCATCTGTACTGCAGAAATAATCTAGTTTGACACCACTTCAACTTCCAATGACTCTATTCTATGGAATTCTGAGAATTGTGGACTGTTGTGGCACCAGAGCTCTCTGACAGAGAAGGTTAACTATCTCATAAAACTATAGTTCCCAGAATTCCATAGCATTGCGCCTTGGCAGTTAAAGTGGTGTCAAACTTCTAGCCTTTAGAGGAAGGCAACTGTAAAACTCCTCTGGTAAAAACCTACCAAGAAAACTAGCTGGTAGGATCACCATAAGTCAGAATCAACTTGAAGACCTAACAGCAACGAAGTTATTAATTCCTTCTCCCCTCCCTGCACAAAAAAGATCCCAGTACAAAATGTGCATGTTGTAGTTCTCTTATTTCCAGTTCTACTTTGATGTAATTCTATTTTTATACAGGAAATGAAGGCTGCATCTGCACTGCAGAAATAATCTTGTTTGACACCACTTTAACCATCATGGCTCAATGCTGTGGATTCCTGGGATTTGTAGTTTGTTGTGGCACCCGGGATCTCTGACAGAAAAGGGTAAATATCTCACAAAACTACAAATCCCAGAATTCCATAATATTAAGTCAAGGCAGTTAAAGTGTTGTCAAACTGCATTGCTTCTGCAATGCAGATTAGCTCAATATTATAAAAAAGGAATATTTCCTCTAAATATTTGAGCATGCCCCCATTTTATTTCATTTTATGGTGTGGACCAGTTTTTTGACCAGTGCCCTATTGCAGCATCTTACTCACATGAGATGATTGCTCACAGATAATATGACAGGATTACCATTACATAAGGCTTTAAGGTACAGATGGGGGATATCAAATGTGGCATTTACTCCATTTGCTTCCTATTTCTACGCCTCCACCAAATATTGCCATCAAGGTTTCAAGCTTATTTTTATAATCTTGAAAAGAAACTTTGCTCAAATCTGAAGATGCTATATTCTGGGGATGGAAAGGGCCTTGAGATCTGCAGGCTGATTGTGTTTCTCTCTCTCTCTTGCAATAAATGGCTCAGCTGCTATTTCAACACCACACACACACTATGGCTGGCATCCTGTTAATAACATACATAAATTAATCCTATGCCTGCATATGTCTATTTTTGGCCATTGAGAGGTAAGGTGACCATGTATCCTATTTTTGAGAGAACAGTCCTCTCTATGAAGGTGTCTTCTGTTTGAAGAGCTATCCAGTCCAAATCTAATTGAAATATAAAGGACCCTAAGACAGCAGAGCAGGGGCCTTGAAACTGTCCATCAGTTATCCCCTTGGACAGTAAGTTCAAGGAGTACACAGGTCACCAGGTCAGAGTCTTTTCCCCATGGTGAAATGTATTGCATTTCTTTTTAAAATACAGTAATTACAGTTGGCCCTCCACATTTGCAGCTTTGACTTTTGCAGATTTTGATTAATATGGGGCCTATACAAACCGGTCAAAAGGTCCGGCCTCGGGGTGGAGTTGGGGCAGGGCGACCACATGCCGGCTGCCCTGACTCCATCCCGATGCCACTGTCATGCTGCACACCCCACCGCACAGTGCGCAGAATCAGGGCGCTCCCTTGGTGCAACGTGTAGACACACTGCGCCAAAGGAGCACAGAAGAGCTGTGGCAGTGGTGGTAAGGATGGTTTTTTGCCAGTCCAAAAAGGAGAGACATTTGCCAGCTCTTTTTGGAGTGGCAAAGAGCCATATTGGGGCCGCGGCGTGTGGATGCTGTGGCCCCGATCTGGTGCTCCCAGGGGTGGCACAGAGCTGCCCCTTCCCAGACATACAATTGGGTTTCAGATTATTCGCTGATTTTATCACATCCAAATGTGATCCAAAATGTTATTGGTGCAAGCTCCCGTTTTTGAAAAGCGGCCGGATAAGTGTAGCTAGGAACCTCTCAGCTGGGTTGCAGTTGCCCAGTGGCTGCAGCAGCGATTTGAGTGTGATAAAATCAGTGAATAATCCGAAACGCAGCTATCCTGTCAGGGATCAGTCACATTATTTGTAATGTGATAATCTCCTAGGAATCTCCAGCTCCTCTTGCACAACTCTGCCAGAAGTTGACCATAGAGTTGTGCTGGAGAACCTAGAAGTTCCTAGAGAAAACACTTCTCTAGGCAGTTGTAGGTCCTCCAGCATGATTCTATGATCAATTTCTGGCAGATGTTGACCACAAAGACCTGGAGATTCCTAGAGAGGTGCTCCCTTAGGTAAAAAAAAAAAAAATACTGTTTTTTTATTTGCGGTTTTTCCCCATTCGCGGAAGTCCTTCATTCCTAACCCCAGTGGATGGGGAAGGACCACTGTATTTTTAGAGAGCCAGCATGGTAAAGTGGTTTGAGTGCTGAACTGAAATTCTGAAGATTAAGGTACGATTCCCTGCTCAGCTGAGGAAACCCACTGGGTGACCTTGGGCGAGTCACACACTCTCAGCCCCAGAAAACCCCATGATAGGTTCACTTAAGAGTCAGCATGAATTGGAAATGACTTGAAGGCACACAACAATGCAGCAATTATTTTTAAATGTACATCTATACGATTTCAAAATTGTTCATATAATTTATCCATATGCAGTTTTAATGCAAATTTGTGCCCTCAATTCCCCATTTTTAAACAATTATGAATTTCCTATTTTTCTCACATTGCATAGGAGACCACCTTATTCGGAGAGCAGCAGCCACACACACACATACAAGCAACTTCCCTGTGCTTTGAGACACAAGCTGCCACGTCCTGTAGCCTCTCATGAATCCGCAAGGTAGCCTGCTATCTCCAAGGATGTGGTGAAGAAAATCATCCTCTTCCTATTGTTGAAATCACCAGTTATCAATTCATTTGGCCTCTGTACCACGAAGAGGGCAGGTACCATTTTATTCTTTACCTCAAACAGAAAAATATTGTGGGTCCAGTCAGTTCTGATTTCAGATAGTGATTTACTACAACCAATTACAAGGAAAAAAAGCATTGTCTCAGATGAATAGGACATTCGGAATACATGTAGAGCTAAAAGGAGCAAGTCTCTCCTGTCTTCATTTTTTCCTCCTAAAATGTTATTCTGAAAAGCAGACAGAAATATGACCAAAAACATAACAAGACACTTGTTATTGTTGTGTGCCTTCAAGTTATTTCCAACTTATCACAGCCCTAAGGTGACCTTATCACGGGGTTTTCATGGTAATTTTCTTGGAGAGGTGTGCCACTGCCCTTTTCTGAGGCTGAGAGAGTGTGACTTGCCCAAGGTCACCCAGTGGGTTTCCATAGCTGAGTGGGGGATTCGAACTGTGGTCTTCCAGAGTCATAGTCCAGTCTCAAACTACTACATCACACTGGCCCTCGAAACAAGGCACTACAATATTGTAATTAATATACATGGTTGGGTTTGTGTGTATTTTGTTTGAATAGGAAGAAAATATTGTTGCTGTTAATGAAAATAACTGTCTCTAAAGCTGCCAGCAAGAGTTATTGCTGAGCATCTGCCACCTAATAATAACCCATCATGAGAAACCACCCTAATTACTAGTATTATCTCTTGAAATAGATGGCTAGCAGTTACAACAATCCTACTGGATACAGAAAGTTGTTGTTATGAAGTGGAACCTTTAATGGCGCATTGTGGTGTAATTATATGGTGGAGTATAGCTATGAACGCACTTGCACTGCCTCTCTTTTTGTCACAGGGGCACCAGCAGAGGAAAAGTTGCTATCATTTTTCCGGCCATTAGCTGCACCTGTATTGTTGTTTTGTTTTTATTCATTCTGTGTAAGATTACATCTTGCAGTAAGGAATACTTAAAGAGAGGAAACAAGAGATGCCAATCATGATGACTCTATAATATGGATAGAGAAGGGAAAACAAATATTATTATTTTTATTTTAGCTCAGTTCACCAAGGTACTTTATTTGCAAGCTATAAGTTGTCACTGTCTAAAATAGCAAAGCTCAGTGAGGTGGGAAAATAGTTTTTAGACACGTGCAGTTCAGTACAAATTGGTATTTAGGGAAAAGAATTCTATATGAACCAAAAGGCCTTTTGACATCACCACATCCCATTTTATCCTAATGGCAAAAGCATAGTGTCCCCAATTGCGATGCAGAGGGGCGGGATAGAAATAAATTTTATTATTTATTATTATTATTATCTGCATGCAACTGGTGATCTTGGGCATGGGCAGGGAATAGCCATACTGAAGTTTACCACTTTGCTAAAAAAAAAAGTTAAGCCATCATTTGTTCTAACCATGATTGCTGAATAAATGTGGATTTCTCTCTGATGATTAACCAAGCCACAAACCTCCCTCTGCTCCTGTCCTAAAACCCCATCATGGAGCCTGACGGCTGGGAAAGTGTCACTCCATCACCATTTTTCCTAATATTTGCTCCAATTGGCCAGGACTAGACTGGAAATGGTTGCCCAGAGGACCTTTTTGTATGCTGCCCCCAGACTGTGGGATGATGGGCCGGAAGAGATACAAGAGCTGAAAATGCTGACCGCTTTTAAAACAACATTAAAGACACATCTCTTCAGGCAGACTTACCCAGTCAATTTTAAATCATGACTTTTAATTGCTATATGTTAAAGAATGCATTAGAGGAGTGTATTTTAATGGTTTTATTGTACTGTATTTTAACTGTTGGTTTTAAGTATTTTCTTTTTTAATTGTATTTTGTATTTTAACATGTTGTACCCTGCCTGGAGTTTTGAGAAATGGTGAGAAATAAATAAAAAATATCATCATCATCATCATCACCATCCTTCCTCCCAACAATGGGACTCAAGGCAGCTGAAAACATTTTTAAGACAATACAGGTTAAAATTTATACAAAAGGTTTGATTAAAGTATTAATATAAAGTTGTCTAAAAAGGATGTAAAAATGTATCAGTTTAAAGCATTAAACATTAAAAACACATTCATTAAAAGATGATGCAGACCATAAAATATTTTTAAAAGG